TGGAGTACATGACTACAGTGTGTAGTTTTCAACAAGCCACATTGAGGACACAACAAACGTGTGGAAGAAGGTGCTTAAACATAAATTCAATTGAGAATCAGTTGCAAGACCTGAAAATTGATGTTTATAGATGCTCTCCGTCTAATCTGACTGAGCTTGAGTTGTTCTCAAAAGAAGAATGGAAAAACAAAATCAGTATCTAAAACTGCAAGGCTGATAGAGACATACCCTTAAAGAACTGCAACTTTAATAATGATGGAAGGTGCTTCTTGAAATAGTTGACTCAAACGGGCTTATTGCAAATATGTGCCACACTTTTCAGGTGATTATTTTTTTAAAACTTTGAAAATATGTAAAATTTTTGTTATACTTATTTTTTAATTTTAAAAAGGTGTTTTTTCAGTGCTGTGAACATGTCTTACTTTAGTGATCCTCTGGCTACAGTAGTTGTACTGTATTTTCACTGCAAAAGATGTGGAAATTAAGCCACTCTTGTACATGAAGTTGGTCAATCTGCTGTTATGTTAAATTTGAAATATTTATTTGTATTAGTAACACATTTTAATACAGCTTGTTGACTATCCAGGATGATTTAAAGACCAAACTGTGCATCTGAATGCACATTTCTTGTTATGCATTATAGATTTTGTTAGGAAAATATGTGCATGTGTAAGCTGCATTGCATTTTGCATGGAATAAAAGTGACCACATAATGTTTGGCTGCATGCATCTCACTCTTAATTTACTGCTCCCCCATCTGTCTTCCGCACAATCAGCATAAAGTTTGAGAGGACCCTTCAGTTGAGGCTTATCCATTCAGACAACCACTCAAAGAGAGTGAGGCGGATGCGGATGGAACAACTGCCTCCAAACAATCAAACACAACGACATTGAGGGCCAATGACTTCAATAAGAGAAAGCTGCTGACCCCACACGTTGTCTCATTTCTTAAAGATCCATCATCCAATGTGAACTTAAGGTTGTTGAGTCCTCGGTGTCTCTGATCTCTGCAGGCAGGACAGATTGCTGATAGAGAAGCTAAAAGGAGTTCTCTGAGAAGTCTTTTGAAGTGGTGATGCTATCACAAGGTAAACACAGTAAAAAGGTATGTAGCTGTCACACATTGCTGCTACAAAGAGATATGTGTGCAAAACAAGCGATAGCAGCTGTGGTCTGGGAAATAATTACAGGAGAGTGAATAAAGGTTATGTTTGAGAGGTGCTTGAAAACGGTGTTGTCAAGCGAGATTAGAGCCTTGTTGAAACGGTAACTCTCATGAACCTTCAACTCTGTCTGTGCAGGGTCAGCTTGGATCCCTCCCAGCATAGTGCTTGCTGTAGCTCTCCTTAACCACAAAGAGCCATATGATCTCACTCCTGCTCCCAGTTACAATATTTTTCCAGAGTTATCTGTGGGAAAGGTTAGCTAGCATCCCGATTTCACCAGGGTTGGCTTTAGGCATACCAAACTATAAAATAAAGTCCAAATATTTATTCCATAAATAGTTAAATGCAAACTGCATTTCAGAATTTTATATCCGTCCATCCATCTTAAATATTTTTAAACGATTTCAGTCTGTTATTGCAATTAAAGATGGTTCTACATAGTATTGTTTTGGGGTAGCTGGACACAAACCCACACCAACCACTTTTAAGATTTCTATTTATTAAAAAAAACCATTAATTATTGTCATTCTACTTCACAATTATGCTAATAGTCTATTTTGTGTTGGTTTATCACTTACAATCCCAATAAAATACAATGAATTGGTGGTTATAAAATCACAAAATGTAAAAAAGGATAGGATATGAATATACTTTTGCAAGGCAGAAATCTGTGTGCCCTCAGATTCAACTACTGAGCAAGATGTCTGAAAGGCTGACAGGGTGCTTTATTACATGACAACATCACATGAAAAAACTGCAGGAGATAAAACATCACAAACAACTGACCACATGAATGATAGGTCAAAAAGGCATCACAAGATAAATATAATGGAAAAGATTCACATGATTTACAATGTTTAATTTAACATGTTTTTAGAATCCACCCTCACATTAGTACTACTTTTTGACCAGCTTGACCACAGGATTTGACTCAAGGGTCTCTGTTTACACTAGATTCTGTCAGCGGGTGATGATACACATGTCCAGTGGCGGTTCTTAAATGAAGCCAATAAAAATAGCCAAGCCTCTCTTTCTGTTGCTAAACACAGAGCCAATCACATGCCCATTAACCCAAAAAAGGCCATTGTGCAAAAACTCTTTTTGTGACGTAGCTTATCGGAAACACAAAGAATCAAAATATATTATTGAGATAGTACCTGATCTTGTCATGATTTGAAGGTGTTTGAGTTTTATTCTGGATCTTGCCTCTTATCATGATTGTTTATGTTTTCCAGGTGGTGCTTTAGTTTATTCCTTCAGGTTTAGTTTATTACTTGTTCTGGTTATGGTGCATTTATCCTTTGGTTTCATTGTCATTGTTTGTCTGTTCAGTTCCAGTCAAGTTGCGTTTCCAGTCTCAGCCACTGCCACCATTATCAGCCTCATTCAGTACACCTATTTCATGCCAATCAGTCTCCATGTTTTCACCTGTGCCATCTACTATTTATACTCTGCTGTTCTATTTTCTCATTGCTGGTTCATACCGTTGCCACGCCAAGCCTGCCCATGTTCATGCCTGTTGTGAGTTTTACGTATGGGAATTAAAATTTTTTCACTTACCTTGCTGCCTTTGTCTGCCAGTCTGCATTTGGGTCCTATTATGAAAGCCACCAGCTTTTTGACAGATCTAGATGAATGGGTGGATTTTAACAATATTTTTGAGTAAACTATGAAATAATTTTTTTTTAAATAGAGATTTAACAAATCACACACTGTGTTTAAAGGATTCATAATCCTTCGAACAACATGCTGACGATAGGCCAATGTTGTGCTTTTGTCTCAATCTCAAGGGCAGACACAGATGTACTTGACGTACGTGCAGAGTCCCCGTGGACTCAAAGGGAACGTCTGCCAGACACGTCTTTGCAAAACTCAATTTTTACGGCCGCATACCTGGTGTCACACAATAAACTGCTCGACAGGAGAACGTTTCCAGAACAAACTGTTTTATATGTGACACAATGCTCCTGCACGTTTCTCCTTTGTCTGTTGTGTGATTGGCGCCACACAAACCTTTGCCTTATACAGTTGGACTGATTCAATTTTTTAAATTTACATTAGACAGGATTCATACTTCTTAGTTTGCAAGGCAGTCAGCTAGACTACAAATCGTGTTGCTGGGCATTTTGATATCTGTACCTGCTCACAAGGATTCGCAAGATTTGATTGCTTCGCTGATGACCTTGTGTAAGAGTTTTGTGACTGTCAACATCAGCGAAAATAAAACTTTCAAGGTGGCGATAAATGCAGATCAGACAAAGAAAACATGGATTCCATGAGCATAACAAGAAAAAGAATGAGAACTATTGTTTAAAATCTTGTGTGAGGACCTTTGCCGTTTCACAATGAGACGATTTATCCCTTAGATACAACAAGGACAGAAATACTGCACTGACAGCTTACTGTTGTCTTGCAACTATGTACTGATCAGTATTTACACAGTATTTAACAGATCATGACAAGAAAAATAAAGGAACTAGCTTGTGGTTATTTTGTTGTTCAGAAAGCAAACCTTTGTTTAACTAGATGATAGAACTTGGGAGTGATACACTTGAGTTTAAATGTCTTCACCACAGAGCTGTTGTGATGTATCTGATAAGTCTGTTTAAATGCAGCATCCAATCAGTACCTGATATCCAACAAGGATTAAAATGAAAATTTCCAGTTTTTTTATGTGGCTTGGCTGCAGCATTTTTGAAACCTCCTTAACGCAAAGTTCATGTCATCCAGCTGTGAGAATGGAAAGAAAGAAAAGAAGATTAAGAGAAAGAATCACGACAGGGGAATGCGACCGGTTGGTCTAATATTAGGTGAAATGTAGGAACAGCTACTTCATACCATGTGATTTATCTTTCAATATTATTTCTTTAGTAAAAAGTGCATTGGCAAAATGTGTTATTTATTTCATATGAAATAATGCTTGTTTGACCACATGACTTAGCATAAAAGAACAAAGGTGAGGGGTGAAGTATTCCTACCATGCCTCTAACGGTTGAATCTGCCAAGAGATCCTTTAATAAGCTAAAGCCTATCAAAACATACCATCATTCTAGTATGAGCAATGATCGCTTGAGCTAGTTAGCACTGATCTCTATTGAAAACAGTGTGTCACAGTCACAGATATGGGTGACTGCAAAAGGCATGTAGTTTAGTTATATTGCTATACATTATGTATTGTTTTTGACTGAGTTGATCATCTGCTGTAATATGTAACATAAAAGTCTAATAATAATAATAATAATAGTCTTGTATATTCTAAGTCCATGAATAAATAAGATTTAAACACGTAAACATAAAAAAAAAAGTCCGACTGGGTGGGGTGCATGGGGGCACCCCTGTCAACCTATTATATCCGTGTTCCAGTTGCAAGTCAGGAAACCAGTAAGAGCTGCTGAATTTTGTGCTTAGCAACTGGACAGAATACAAACAGCAATACAAGTTAGAAGAGGTGGGACCAAATCATTACTTAGCACACCACAAATACTGTACTAATGTAATTTTACCATATACTTTATTATTGCTAGGTTAGCAGATTGCAGAGCAAACCAGTCAGTCATTTTCTATACCGCTTCTTCCATAGAAGAAGCTTCTTCCATAGTGGGTCGTGGGGAAGCTGGTGCCTATCTCCAGCAGTCTACGGGCGAGAGGCGGGGTACACCCTGGACAGGTCGCCAGCCCATCGCAGGGCAACACACAAACAACCATGCACACTCTCATTCATACACCCAATTTTAGAGTGACCAGTTAACCTAACAGGCATCTCTTTGGACTGTGGGAAGAAGCCGGAGTACCCGGTGAGAACCCATGCATGCACGGGGAGAACATGCAAACTCTATGCAGAAAAGACCCCCGGCCGGGAATCGAACCCAGGACACAAGGCAGCTGCAAGGCAACAGTGCTACCAACTGCACCACCGTGCAGCCCTGCAGAGCAAACGATCTGATTTAAAATTCATCCGAAATCTTTTTTACTTTTGAGTCACAACCTGAGACCTTCCTGGCTCTATTGTTAAATTACTGAGCAGAAATCCTCAAATGTTAGTCGCTTTATTAGCTTTGACTCATGATTATTTGCATACTTTTAAATATCGAATGGAAGTTAGAAGTTGTTGACTCACTATTGCAGTTTTCAGCCCGCATGTTTTACCTTCTGAAAATCATTTAATTTTGATCACCTTGTAATCTTAGCAAACAAATTAAATTATATAATTTTTCTCTGTTGTCTCTACTGTGATAGATCAGGAGATTATGAGAAGTTACTATAAACTGGCTAGGAATGAACAAAGAAACATTACCTGATTTAATAAAGGAATATAATGATAACTTAATTTTGTCGATAAACTTAAACTGTAACATTGCATGTTCTGTGGGTGACCGACCGCTTTGACATGATGCAGAGGTGGGGACATCTTGTTTTGTTTTTATTTTATTTTTTAAAGAAATGGCACTTCCATTATGACTTCAGGGTTGTCTCTATCTCAGAGCATTTTGCGGTAGGTCCATCCCCCAACACAATGCCCAACCATTTATGGCAGCTTTGGCATCCCGAACATAATGTCATAGGGTTCCAGTTCATTTTTTCAGGGTTGAAGAGCGAAACCATCACTAACCATATTGCCCAATTCTCCACCAAATAGATAGAAGATAGACGCGTCATTTTTTAGTAATGTCCCAGTGGTTTGCACACAGAGAAGTAGATCAAGTTCCTTACAAACATGTGTTTCCAGTAATCATAAATTGGGGCCTCACATAACATTGCTGATAGTAGTTTAGTAAAGTAGAAGGTATTACGATCATGAAAGACCTTATAAATGTATTTTAATAGTTCATTGGACAAACAAAACAGCTTAGAAAATTGTTAAAGGGGTGTCGGGACCCCAGCCATGGATTACAACATAGATGAATATGGACTCTGAACTGCACATAAACAGAGGCCAGTATGAACTTTTCTACACCTTACAGTGTCACACTAACTTGCGCCTAACCCAGCCTAGGAAGAGGAGGAGTCATAGCTCACTCCCCGTGACGTCACTATTTGAACAAAACGTCGTGTTCCAACATGGTGGCCTCTTCCACATGGATTTCCAGCAGGAGAACCGGACGGAGGGACACAATGTGTGAATATCTCCTTGCCGGGGAGCAGACATAACTCTTCAACTTTGATTGTAAGAACAGTTAAGTTAAAAGCCATCTAGAACCTGTTTGCAATGGGAGACCCATACCAGGGGCATTTAAGCCCCAGACAACATAGCCTTGAGGATCATTCGAGCACTCAAACTCCTACACCACGTTAAGGTGGCGGTTCAAGAAGGGGAAAATCTAAATAATGTTAGTTTCATGACATTTGGTTTTTGTTTGTGTTGAGAAAACTCAGCTAAGGTTAGTAGACTAGCTGTTTAGCTAATGATGTGTTCTGTGTTGTGTTTTTTTAAGTTAAGACAAACCTTATTTAAAGGGTGGTTTTTAAACACAGATTAGCCATAATGTGTCAATGCTTATGCATTTTGATCCTTTTATTAATGGGATTTTAAAGTTAATGTTTGATTTTAAAGGAGCAGTAACAAACTATAGGCTTCCCTTTTTGTTAGCTGTGTGACCTGTCGCCATCTTATGAATCCATTAAGAATCATTTACCCTGAAAGGTTGTTAGTTTCCAATCTAGGAAAATAATATTTCCCTAAATATTATTTTACTAAATGTGATAGCTTATTAAACACCATTAAGACTCATTTATCCAGAAGGTTTGGTTCTTATTAAAAATAACATTTCCTTAAATATTATTTTACTAGATAAATGCAGCTAATTGAACACATCCAGAAGGTTGATTTTATTCAGCAAATCATTCTTTAAAATATAATTTTATCAAAATAATCTTTTTTCTGATCTTGAATGGTGAATGGTGGTTTGAAGGTGTACAAATTATTGCCTATGTTAGTTCCAAGACTAACTTAACCTAATTTCCAGATTCCTCAATATATCCTTGGTTCTCAGACATAAATAACATAGAATGGTAATGTTGAATCACTTTATTGGTCATGGTTTTTAACCATCTTTGATTCACTTGCTCATATTTTATATAGTTGGTCTTCCTTATTCTTTCATTTTGCTTGGTAGTTTAGTTGGATTGTTTAGGATAGTAAAGAGTTTGTTGACTGAAATTTGTTTGACTTTGAGTTGACTTATTTTTGTTAATAAGTTCTTGTATTTAAAGAAATTGTGTGCATTTATTTCATGTGTGTGCAGAGTTTTGCACGTTCAGTCAGAGCTTGGCCCATCCCTTTCTTTTCACCAGACAACACTTAACAGACGAAATTATTATTTAATAACATATTAAAATTAAATATTAAATAATATATTCATAATTATAATCACAACAGGGACATACAGTGTGCCTCTGTTTTTTTTCTGTTTCAACATACAGTTTTTAGGGTTGTTATTCTGTTGGAAGTTGAACTTCCACCCCAGTCTCAAGACTTTTGTCCTGTATTTAGGTCCATCCATCTTCCCATCAACTTTGACATCCAGAAAGGAAAGCATCCCCACAGCATGATGTTGCCACCACCATGTGGGAAAGTCCAGTGTTAGTTTTCCATCACACATGGTGTTTTGCATGTAGGCCAAAAAGATTGGTGTCATCTGGCAAGAGCATCTTTCAAATTTTTGCTGCATCCTCCTGATAGCTTATGGCAAATTTTACAGGACTTCTTTTTACTCTCTTCAAACAGTAACTCTCCTTTTGTCACTCTTCTATAAAGGCCAGATTTTTGGAGTGCATGGCTCCTCCAGATTTACAATGGGTCTCTTAGGTGCATCACCGATAAATGATCTCCTTGCCAAGCCTTTCAGTTTAGGTGGTAGCCCATGTCCTGGTAGGTGTACAGTTGTGTCATACTATTTACAGTTTTTATGGATTGAATATGCAAATAAGATGTTCAAAGCTATAACCTTTTCCTGCATTAAACTTTTTCTCAACTTCATCTCTGACCTGTCTGCTGTGTTCCTTGGTCTTCATGATGTTGTTCGTTCACTAATGTTCTCTGACAAACCACTGAGGCCGTCACAGAACAGTTAGATTATAGTGAGATTAAATTACACACAGGGTGACTCTTTACTGATCAGGTGACCTCCGAAGGCAGTGGGTTGCACTTTTATTTGGGGGGTATCGGAGCAAAGAGGGGACCCAAAAAATTTCAATACCACACTTCATATTTTATTTGTGAAACAATTTTCCACTTTAAAGGTATGCACCACTTTGTGTTGGCCTATCAGATGGGTTCCATTTAAAATCCACATTTGTGGTTGTACCAAAACGTAAAAAAGTTCAATACTTTTGCAAGTTACTGTAATAGTTTTGTAAATAAATTTCCTTTACGTAAAGTAATGGTGAAGAGCTAATTTCGATTGATCTCCTAATCTTATTTAGATCGACAATAAGCTATTGTGGCTCTTGGCAAATCCCAGCCTGATTAGTATAAATCACTGGTATCTTAACAGTCTTAGTTATGATGCAGAACAAATGCTCATCTGTTGCACAAGCAATAGTCTATTAATTCACACTCTACCATCACAATGCTAGCAAACGGTCAACTGTCTGCTAGACATAATTAGTCCAGTTCGGCAGATTGGCCTCCACGCAGAGGGATGAAATAATCCCTCAGACAAATATTAACCCAGGAATTGACCCTGCAGCCTGTCAAGAAGATGAACGTCTACAACAGGAGGGGGAAAAACAGCATTCCATTTCCAGTAAACCAGGAAGGTGGGGGAGGGAGGGGGATTTTGGGAAGTTTGGTGACTCATCACTTTTTCTCTTCTACTAGCTCTCCCACATACAGCATCAGATGCTGGTGCTTGAATACCGCCACGGTGGATCTCAATGGCCCATTTGACGAGGGTCCCCTGACTGATGGTTGCAGGCAGGGGCACAGCTGTCTGCGGGGATGTTAGCCGACAAACCGCCCTCGCTGCTGACAGATGCCCCGCTGTGAAACATGAGCAGATAACAAGACCTTAAAAGCAAAGCAAAAAAAAAAAAAGCATGCAACAACTTGAATCTCTGCTTGCTCACACCCTTGCTTCACCACTCCGGTTCGTTCTTGCAGGTGTGACTGCGTTAAACAGTGTTTCAGTGATTGGGTCGAACGGGAGCGGGTGCGGTGAGTCAGTGGATGTGTGTGAGGAGTTCAGCACTTGCCAGCTTCATCTTGCGCGACAGCAACATGCTGATGAATGCTTGTAAAATGATGACAGGGCTTAAAAGTAGGAGCTTTTACAGCAGTTTATGGGAGCAACCCATAATGGAAAGTGCTTAAGTTCTTATTGAAAAAACCTGTAACTATAAAGTTTGATTTTTTTCTCCTATTTTCATGCCAGCTCTTTTGTGTGACCACATAATACTCTGCTCCACTGACTGATTTGTGGTCAAGTGTTTTCCCTAACGGGCCCCCTGAACACCACACAATAACACTCTGAGACCTTCTCTTAGGGGCCTCTTAGCTGCGGGGACTGAACTTAACTCCTCCCCACTGCTTCATCTGTCCCTCTCAAACACACACTTAGGATATTTATCACTCTTTAATTACAGACTCCACAAAGGATGATGTCACCTACCACAGCATAACAAGGTCCGACATTAGGGCAGCCAGTCCACTCTCGTCTCAGCTTTACCGCAGTGACCTCAAGTGATTGATTGATCTCAGTCTTACTGGTCTCTTTGTGCCAGCGTGGATATTTGGCACATGAGGCCTTAATGCTGCTGCCTCTGCCGCTGGTGACTAACAGTGAGTAATCAAAACAGTCGTAGAAACTAGCTGGCTTCACAATGATGCTTGTTGCCATTAAAATGTCATTTAACAACTTGACATGAGGCAGTGCCTGCACTGGTAACTTCAGCAGCTGTGGGATATAATCAGTTTATGTTG